GGGGGAGGGGGAGAGTGAGGGGAGGCGTGAGGGGGGAGAGTGAGGAGGGGAAAGTGAGGGAGAGAGTGAGGCAGGAATGAATTGAAGAGTGAATTAGTGATGCATGCTGAGAGTGGCCGCCTGTTGCAGACCGGGAGCCTGTGCATCTCAGGACGGAAGGGGAACCCGCTGAGGACACACGGACGACAGACCGAAGGCTCTCTGCACATGTCAGGTGGATGTGGGGGTGCCCGCCAGGGGTCTCAAGTCTGCAGGGAGGGGATGGGTTGGAGGAAAGTCTATGACCAGGGAGACTCACAATGTGATGTGTTTAGTCCACGCTCATAGACTGACACCCTGGGTCCCCTGGGTCCACTCTCTCTTGGGTCCAACCCCCTGCCCACCTGATGGACAACGAGCTCAGGTCACTCCATCCCCCACACAGGAGGCCACTGGCCGATGCTGCCCCCTACCCAGTGCGGGGCCCCTACTGTGTGGACGAGAACACAGAGCGCAGGAACCACTACCTGGACCTGGCGGGCATTGAGAACTACACCTCCAAGTTCGGGCCCGGTAGGTGACCATGTATCCTCCCAGCTGGTCATGCCCACCCTGCAGGCCTTCTGAGAAAGCCCAGTCTGCCCTCTACTCCTTCACCCGAAGCCCCTCCCTGACTAGGGTCCTCAGAGGCCTCGGCGGCGGGTGGCAGGAGGATGGGGACCATGGCCTGAGCCATTTGGAATATCTGCTAAACTTCTTGGCACATCCTGACCTAAGGAAACTGGCAAAGGGCACTGTGGTAACACTGTGGGTCACCCTGCAAGGCGGGGGCCATGTCCGCATGCCACCTCACCGTCACAGGCCAAGACCTCAGATCCAGGCACGGGGACCCCATGTCCTGCAGCCAGGACATCCCCAGGCAGTGGACTAAACCCCAAAAGGCCTGACCTGTGCTTTGTAAACACAGCCAGCATAGTCATTCTAGAACTTTCTTTCATGAGGAGAGCTTCGACTTATCGGGTCAGTGTCTTTTTCTCTACAACAACAGAAGGGAGCCCTGGGAATGCAGCGGGTACGGGTGTGCTGCTACCTGCAAGGTCAGCAGTTCGAATCTACCAGCCACTGCATGGGAGGAAGATGAGACTTTCTGCCCCCATAAAGATTTACAGCCTCCGAAACTCTATACAGGGTTGATATGGGCTGGAACCAATTCAACAGCATCCCACCCGCAGCAGTCACCATTACACCAGTGGATGGCTTTGACAAACAGAACTGTATACTCCTACAGGCTAGGAGACTAGAAGTCCAAATTCAGGGTACTTTCTTGGTGTTGGCTCTGGGGAAGGTCTTTGTATACTTCCTACAACTGTGGTCCAGGTGTTCCTTGGAGATCTCCATGTGTCTCGGTACCAATCGTCACCTGGGTCTAGCAGGTTCTCAGTGCAGGGACTCCGGGTCCAAAGGATGTGTTCCACTCTCGGCTCTCCTTTCTTGGTGGTGGTAGGTCCCGCTGTCTGCTCACTCCTCTCTCCTTTGATCTCTTGTAAGAGAAAAGGGGATGAGGGCCACACCCCTGGGAAACTCCCTATCAGGGTGTTACTTGAGCCTACCTCAATCCCCTTAGATCAGATCAAGGCTGATCACACCAGATCACATCTGTCAAACCACTGAGGATCATGACACACAATTGTAGGAAGACACAGTTCAATCCAAACAATCTACCCTTTACTGCTGTTATTGTTACTGTTAAGTGCGTTGAGTCCGTTCTAATTTACAATGACCTTATGCAGATCAGAACCAAACACACTTGCTCCCACACCATCCTCACAATTGTTGTCACGTTTGAGCCCATTGTGTCAGTCCATCTCCTTAGGGTCTTCCTCTTTTATACTGACCCTCCACTTTACAAACATGATGTCCTTCTCTCCAGGGAGTAGTCCTTCCTGACAACATGTCTAAAGTACGAAAGACCAAGTCTTGTCATCGTGACTTCTAAGAAGCACTCTGGCTGCACTTAATCTGACATAGATTTGTTTGTTCTTCCGGCAGTGCATGGTACTTTAATTTTCCTCACCAACACCACAATTCAGATGCATCGGTTCTTCTCTGGCCTTTTTTATTTGTTGTCTAACTTTCACATGCATATGAAGTCATTGAAAAACCCCATGACTTGGGTCACGTGAGCCGTAATACTTAGAGACATCTGTGCTCTTTAACTCTTTTAAGAGCAGATTTACCAAATGCAATGCATCGT